TATATTTATTAGTATTACATTTATTTTTTTTTGCATTATTTACTTATCTGATATTAAATCTCTATCAGTTTATGGTAAAATGTATACAGTATGTTCTCACATGCTCTCTATTTCTCTCTCTCTCTGCATCAGGGATCATAAGAGTTGCCTTACCCAACATGGATAGGGAGGTTAAAGAAATGTACCAGGTGGTCATACAGGCTAAGGACATGGGTGGCCAGCTTGGGGGCTTAGCTGGGACCACAACCATCAATATCACTCTCCGTGATGTCAACGACAACCCACCACGGTTTTCTAAAAGTATGTTAAAAAGCAGCTGTTTCTAGACATGAAGGAATCATTATAGAGTGCAATAAAGCTTACACTATTCTGCCAGCATTTCTATATCAGCAGCAGTTTATCCCTGGGGTTTATCTTAATGTGAATTGAATCGGGTTTCATATTTGCTTTGCTCTTTGGAAAACTTAAACATGAGTCCATTATTTGAATTGTTTAATTCGCTTAATGGCTGGCACTGATAACAAAGAGGGGCTATCTTCAAAACAGGGACTGAACAGTAATGCATGACCTGAGAAGAACTTCAGATTTACAATTGGCCATGATTAAGTCCTCAAGGGCTCTTGCCAAACACAAACAACTGAATATGGTTGAATTTACAAATGTGATTAGCATTCTAGCATTTTCCTCCAGAGCTGCTGAAGTGATTAGTGGATGATTATTGTTAACTACCTCTCAGAGTAATTTCTAAATGTAGAGTCTTACAACTAATACTGAGGGGAGAGTTTGATCACTGATAAAGGTGTTTGTGAATCTCGACAGGTATCTTTCACCTGCGTGTTCTTGAATCTTCACCTGTGGGCTCGTCGGTGGGGAGGGTCAAAGCTCATGATCTGGACTCTGGGAAGAATGCTGAAGTGGAATATAGTATCATTCCTGGTGACGGGGGCTCCATGTTTGATATTTACAGCAATAAGAACACTCATGAGGGAACAGTCATACTGAAAAAGGTAGAATATGGCTTCTTGTAGTCATTTTTAGTCTCAAAAAGAAAAAAAAAGAGATTAGACTGTGTTTTTATAATTACAGTAATGTTCAGAAGTTTGGGGTCAGTAACATTCTTTATATTTTTGAAAAATGTCTCTTATGCTTACCAAGACTACATTTATTTGATGAAAGATACAGTAAAAACAGTAATATTATGAAATATTATTACAATAGGGGAAGTTGTGGCCTAATGGTTAGAGAGTCGGACTCATAACCCAAAGGTTGTGGGTTCGAGTCTCATACCGGCAGGGATTGTAGGTGGGGGGAGTGAATGTACAGCGCTCTCTCCCACCTTCAATACCACGACTGAGGTGCCCTTGAGCAAGGCACCGAACCCCCAACTGCTCCCCGGGCGCCGCAGCATAAATGGCTGCCCACTGCTCCGGGTGTGTGTTCACGGTGTGTGTGTGTTCACTGCTGTGTGTGTGCACTTTGGATGGGTAAATGCAGAGCACTAATTCCGAGTATGGGTCACCATACTTGGCCACATGTCACTTCACTTCACTTTAATATATTTTAAAATGCAATTTATTCCTGTGATTGCAAAGCTTCAGCAACCATTTATCCAGTCGTCAGTGTCACATGATGCTTCATAAATCATTCTAGTATGCGTATTTGTTGCTCAAGAGACATGTATTAATATTATCAATGATGAAAACAGCTGCTTTTTTTTTTAAACCATGATCCACTTTTTTTTCAGGATTCTTTGATGAATAGAAATATAAAAAATCAGCCTTTATTAGAAATAACAATCTTTTGTAACATTATAAATGTCTTTACTTTCACTTTTTATCAATTTTAATGTGTCTTTGCTAAATAATATTATTAATTTCCTTTATAAAATCTTACTATCCCCAAACCTTTGAACAGTAGTGTACATGTATTTATTATTTACATTTTATAGTTTTAATATTTATTTTGTTTTTACGTGTAGCAATACATAGACATTTTGCATTAAAGGGATGGTCGTTCCAAACCTGATTTCATTTCCTCTGTTGTTTTGATGCATCATATTTAAATACAGTATATAAGAACATGAATGAGAGGAGAAGACTATTACACTGTAAATAATTTTTACCTACTTCAATTAAAAAAAACGTAAAAAATTAAACCAAGTTCAGTCTCTATAACTTAAAAAGTTAAAATTGGTTATGACCATTGTTTTGTTTTGATCTCTCCCCTGCACTTCCGCGTTCGGCACTTCTGAGCGGCACAGGCACAACGCCGCCATCTTACGTCATCCTCCCGGAGCTGCTACCGTGTACAACAGAGAGCGCAAGCTAGATTAAATTATTAAGATTTAAATTATTAGATTATTGCGTTTTAAAAATGGTTATTTTTCTTACAAAAATGCATTGAAGAAAGTCATATACACCTAGGATGACTTGAGGGTGAGTAATTTATGGGCTAATTTTCCTTTTTGGCTGAACTAACCCTTTAATTATCTAAAATAAAGTAATTTTAAAAAACATTTCGCCATGACCTCCGGGCGGATGACGTATGAGTTCAGCGTTGCGCATGCGCCGGTGAGTCTGGTGAAAACCAACGTTTGTTTACAGAAGCAAAGGAAGCAAAGTCTCCTTACTTTAGCAAAGGAAAATCAGTCTCCTCTTGGTTTACATCGAAATCCTCTGACATTCTTCTTTACAAATCCTCCTTTTGTAACGCAGACGTTTTCCTCTTTTGTTTTTTTATCCGCCATCTCTATCTTTCTGTCGCTCCGCTCAGCTAATGTCCGTCCCATGCACTGAAAGCTCTCTGCTCCACATCATGAGTAGACACGCCCCTTATTGCTGATTGGCTACAAGTTTGTTTTGCTATTCGGCCCGAATCAGTTTTCTAAAGTGTTTTTGAAAAATCACATACCCTGCCTTTAATGATAGTATAATTTTAATTTAAAGTTCTTTAAGCAAAAGTGAGTGAATATAGCACAGTTCCATATGTAGCTTATGCAATATTGTACATGAAACAGGAGCTCCTTTACTGCACAGTAAGTAAATTATTTGACAGTATTTGGATGTTTATTTAGGCAATATTTATTTGCTAGCTAAGGTTGGATGACATCAGATGCAAATCACAATGCCATTTGCATCTCTTTTTCAAACACACGTGAATCCAAGGATGATAGCAATAACCCCTCTTGCTCTTTCATTCAGAGGCTCGTGTGTGTTTGCTCCGAGGTGAGTCATATATTATTATTGGATGGCCATCCATAGCATCCCGAATGAATAATGCATAAAGCCATAAAAGCGCGAATGCTTGACCCACAAAATGCAATGCCTGCTCTTGGACTTATCAATTCATTATGTGCTTTGTGGATGTCCTTAGAACATTGTTTTCCCATTCCTGTTTTGCCAACATGTGAAAAAAGAAATGTATTGCGGGTGCTGACCTCTCAGGGGATTTCAAAATTGTTTGAGTTCCCCCAAGATAGAGCCCAATAGTTTTATATTTAGTGGACATGAATAACTGAGTGCACCCATGGCAATCAGAACATCTATCTTTTGATGTGATGTGACAAGTAGAAATCCTCTCAGATGCCCTGTTACGTGGCCAATCACAGACTTGCTGGCTGTGCTATAATTGCTTAGCTGAAACAAATGCCTTTGTAAAGGCGTGCGGATGAGGCTGGTGTGCTCTTATCCTTCAGGGAGTAGAGCGGTTACTCCTTCATTACTCAAAGCTAGTGTAGTCTGTGGACAGTCCACTGCTGCTATTCATCTCTCTCTCGAGCAGATGGAGAGATGCATATGAAGAATATGAAAGCAATAGGGGGCTATGCTTTGTTTCATGGCACATTCCACAAATATGGTACACTTTGGTGTCATTACTTTTTGCCATTTAAAAAGCACTAGCACTAGAAATAGAATGTTAGATAAACTATTATGTAACATAGGTCACAGTTTAGTTTGGGGACCTGTTCTTACTATTAACTTTCTCGGGTCCGTTGGGGTTTCAGGAAGCAGATGTGATGGGAGTCATGTGTTAGTCACGTCTGGCTCCCGTGGTCACAGGCCTGAGGGCACTCGTTAATTTACTTCCTGTGTCTACACTGGTTTCTATTCATTGGATCACGAGGCATCACGCGGTATTTTCAGTCCTCATACAAAAGATCTCTGTGGCATCTCTTGATTAGATTAATCCAGAGCCTCATGATGAGTTGATTCAGTGGCATATCACAGTCCTGTTCATCAAATCCCTACAGATGGTTAGGTATGGAGTAGCATTAAGGGATGTAAAATATAGTCAAGAATAAGGCATTAATATGTGCTTTATAAATACAAATAAACCACCAATATGCTAGTGATATGCATGCTAATAAGAAACTAGTTAATGGTGAGAATTTGACCTTAAAATAAAGTGTGATGTTTCTCTTAGTTGTGCTGGTGAATAAAAACTTCCACTGAAGGATATGATTGCAAAGACTGCAAACATATATATTTGTTTTCCATAGAAAATGAAAATGTCATGTGGACCAAATTAGTCAAAAAAAAAAAAAGTGTAAAGCATCAACATGATTCAGTACAATTGAATGCAGTTTTAGGAACTAAAAATGAAAACAGGACCAAAACACACTGGTATGGAGGATTAAAATGATTAACATTATGTCAGCATATGCTATATACGTATACTAATAAGCAACTAGTTATTAGTGAGAATTGGACCCTAAACTAAAGTGTTACCAATATAGGCCTAAATCTAACTTTCAATGAAAAGGTACAAAAGGAAATTTAAGTTTGTCAGCAACTTCAAACCAGTATAGAATGTCCTTACGGAGTTAAATTTGGATCAATGTGCAGTCCTTTAACACTTTTTTTTATTATAAGTTGTAATTAATGTTAATATTAGACATACTACATCTACTATGTGTGTGTGTTTGTGTATTCATATTTCTGTGAATAATTTTTTCATTGAATATGTAACAAATAATTTATAAATAATTGTCATTTTTGGTATTGGTCATACTGGCCTTCATTCATAGTACTTAGTAAGAAATGGCATTACATACTTTAATGTTTGACTAATCATAATTAATCACATTAATCTGTGCAATTAATTTTGTATTTTTTTTTTTATTAATCAACAGCCCTCAAATATATAAATTGCAAACTCTTTTTTCGTCAACAGTAGATCATAAAAGGTACAGTGAAAATATTTTCCTGTCCTTCATTCCCTCTTTTATTTTCCACTTTTTTATTCCCCAAGCTGAGGCTGCACAGGACAAAGTGACATAGTCCTTACATTGCAAAATGGGTGTGCCATATCTGGTGACCCAAAAAATGTCTGGAAATGGATATGAGGGATCCTCACCGTGGGGCATGGAGGAGGGTCAATGACAATGCCCCCTCTTTCCTCTGTCCTCAATAACAGACTTCCCTCTCCCTTTATTTCTCTTTGACGAGCTGTTCCATCATGCCCCTGCTCTGCTATGCAGGGACTTTTCTGAAACACTGAGGCTGAACATTTGGGGTCTCGTGGCTTTATGGGCTCAGTGCTGCTTTGAGCATAAAGAGGATCTACTAAGGTAATGGGTTGAAAGGATAATTGTCTCTATATTAACAACATGATTGAAAGGTGGACTTTGGTCTTCCAACATAAGGGATTATATTAATCCTTCCTCATTGAAAACATTTTGCACGTACCGTAGAATGAACAGTATTGAAAAATTTGGTACATGCATATGAGATGAAGAATCCGGTCATATCAGTAGCTTAATAAAAGTTGTTTTATTGTACATAAAGAGGGTTCCCTTTGCCTTAATGTACTTAACAACTTCAAAATGCCTTTATATTTATTTGAGGAAACAATAATTCAAAGTTAGAACAGATTTCGAATACTTCACAATTTACAGTGTAGAAGTGCAATTAAGAATTAATGAATAAATGTCAATTAGTAGGGTAATTAATTCAAGTTTTGGTATGTGCACTGTATTGAATAACAAAACAACTATATGGACTAACATCTGATTAGAATTCTCTTTTGAGTGGAGAGAATCCAAAATAGAGAAACGGGCCTTTGTGTTAATTCTCAGAGGAACAGCCTCAGAAGACTCTGAAACGACTAGATAAACAGTGCCATCTAAAGGTGTCCAGTGTGACTGTTATAGAAGCACAGAAGGACACAAAGAACAGAAACAGGACATGTTTAGACATGTAAAATTAATGCTTTTATAATGTAGACCAGATTGAAACGTCATAGTGATGGTATTCTCTCTCTAAGGTCAGAATTTGTGAGCTAAATTTTAATGCTACATGTTTTACATGTCCAAAAGTTGCAATACAGGGGCCCACTGTGTGTTTCTGATTGGCCAGCTGGCTCTCTGTCCTGTCATGTCTGAGGTTGTTATTCTTTCAGCATGGTCAGCACTATGGTTAGCTCAGCCTGCAGACAGCGAGGCAGACACGCATCTCAACGCTAGCTTGAAATGACAGACATAATTTTTGTTTGCTGTCACCAGTGAAAAGACCTCCTGCAGAACAGCAGTGTGGTGTATACATAAAGCTGATGCTTTTTAAGTAGTACTAAGCTCTTTGTAAAAATCTTAGTAAGTTGTCTTTGTAATCTTTTTTTTTTATGAAAGTGTCTCTTTCAACATTGTTGAGGACTTATATTCCCTAAGTTGTTCTGGAAGACTTATGTCTATTGTTTTTGGCTTGCAACAAACTGGGACAAATTGTTCTTTTTACACTCGGTTAAAGTCATTAACCAACCCCAGTGCAGTAAATGGTTTTCTTTTCTGATCAACACACTGGATTCTGGAATTATTTGTGTGAGGCATGCTGAAAATGAATAATTCATTGTCTTTAATATGTTGATAAAGATGCTGAAGATTTATCAAAAACATGTTCTTCAAGAATAGCTTCTGTTGCAAATATGAATACTGTCATGACCAAAACAAGTCCTTTTTAAGTCTTTTTAACTTAAGCTTTTTTTTTTTTATCATAGTCATTTCTGCGTTATTTAACCCCCTTTTGTTGTAACCTAATTTTCTGAAGTTGATTAAGCAATGGTAAATAATATTTGAGACATAAATAGACAAATAAAATCAATTAATATAGATGTTAGCACATGAAGCACATTTCTAGGTTAACATTTTTAGTTCATTTTTACAAGCCACAATCATGCACAGGCAATCAGGCAACTATTAGTGGAAAAACTAAACAGCAGGACATGATTTATCATTTGTGTTCTGCAGTCGCTCTTATTATCTGAGAAATAACAAATTTTCTTGCTCCATACTGTCATGCTTTGTTTGTCATTCCTTTCCTAAGACATTTATTATAAATTATAAAAAGTATCTCTCTCTCTCTCACACACACACACACACACACACACACACACACACACACACACACACACACTTCCTCTATTCTCCCTCCTGTGATTCCAGAGTTGAGTGAGCGGCAGCCTTTCCTTTCCGTTCCCCTCGTGTCTGATCTCTGCACGAGCCCTCTGTTATGGAAAGCATTTTTACTTAGATCATGGGTTTTATGAAAGTTGGTGGTGTTTTGTTATTCTTTGACAGTATGCAGCCACAAACAATTTGATATCACTTCCTCTCTGCTGCCACAAATGACAATAAAACAGAGATAATTCCTAAAGGGTTTAAGACTGATGATGTCTCATTATTCATTTTACAGCGTCTGGACTACGAGACCAGAAAAGCCTACACCTTTAAAGTAGAAGCTTCAAATGCAGTTCTTGATCATCGATTCCTACATTTGGGACCTTTTAAGGACACTGCCACAGTGAAAGTGAATGTTCTGGATGTGGAGGAACCTCCTGTCTTCAGCCGGCTGTCTTATAACATGGAGACATATGAGGACACACCAGTGGGCATCATCGTCGGAGCCGTCACAGCTGAGGACCTAGATGTAGGCAACAGTCCTGTTAGGTATGTGAGAACCCCCCCACACACACACACACAGATGTAGGTCAAATCAAAGCACACACACTTTTCCTCACCTTCAAATACATGTATATATACACAGCGTCCTGTGGGAACTCCTTTCAAAACCACTCTACATGAACAAGTCCAAGTATACTAGACAACATGAAACAATAACAAACCTGTAGTCCCTTGGGTTCAGTCCATTTGGCAATCTTGTTTTGAGCAGAGTGTGCACTGCTTTGATTCAATCCACTCTGACAAACTTCTGGTGCAGTTTGCAAGCATGGAGCTTATTTAATGTGGCACATTTGCTTTTTTTAGGTCTTCATTTAAATGCCTGAAAGTGTTAGCTACAATGTTGATGTGCAAGTGCATTGTCTTTATGAAAGCATTTGTTTTGATATTAATATTTCATGGGGTACATAAATGGAGGAGGTAGTAATTTAGAAACTCTCAGCTCTTGTTAAATATTTCACATCTGTGGATCGTCTATTTGTTAAATTGAGTGTTGCATTTATAGGTTAATTTTAATTGAATTCAAATATTTTTTTCTCTTTCAGCTATGACTGGTAATTATTTTGTATTAGATGTATTGTTATATACAGATTTATCATGTCATTATTTATCGTTGCATACAAAGTACCTTTTGTGGGATGGACATTAAACAAAGTGGAAGGCACATTTTAGTGTTTGTATCACTGCGCTTGTCTGTACCATACGATTAATTTAACAATTGGATTAATTCAGGAACACCACAGCTGTGTTAGTTTCTCCGAGACATGGCAGATGTCTCATTGTCTGCATTGACTTCATTTGGAACTATATGGCAGAGCAAAAATACATAAAGTAACTGTCAGTATTGTCTGTAAAATTGAAGATACTCAATATTAACTTTTTGTTTACTATTGCATATATCACACTTTGTTTTACACATAGAATGCTGTATTGTTGTGCTTGTGACCTCACTAAATACATGCTTAAATCATAGAGTGATGTAAATATAGTTTTGTAAGTAAATAGGCGTTTTTTTTGTTTGTTTTTTTTTGGTGGGGTTATTTTTCTCTCTTGGACAGTGCGATCAAAATTTTATATAGCTTCTGGATCATTCATCACTCTACAAACAGGGTTTCAGAAGTAAAAATCCCATTAATTTTCTTCATACGTGAACACATTTTTAATGATAACTTTTAAAAGACTGTGAGTTAAAAGGCTGCATTTTTTTACTTATTATTTTTAATTACTGTTTAACAGCTAAATGCTGGTGAAAAGCTACATTATACCCATGATTCTTCAAAAAAAGAAAAAAAAACTATATATACAGTATATATATACTGTATATATACTGTATATATATATATATATATATATGCTTAGCCCATCTCCAGTCAGATTTTCTTTATTTCAATTTCTAACGTATAAAACTTTACCAGAAGATGGAATATTTGATAAGGGGTGATTTGACAGCAGTTTCAGTTCAGTAACACTTACTAGAAGAATCCAGTTGAAACTCTCACTGAGGTTTTGCTTGAATAGCAGAAAAGCAGGCAGAGAGACACCTGAGACAGAAAGGATGGGGCAGGAATGTAACCCTGATAAAGGTCTGGTGCTACAGGGAAAGTGCAGACTTCCTCTTTCTTTACAGATCCACTAGGCAGCTTATATTAAAGAAACGGGGGTCTCTGCAGGTCATGTCACGATACTGCTGCTATGTTGGAGCGAGGAGACGGGGGATAATTTCACAAGGAACTGCCTTTATTTTACCATCTCACTCACTCACTCACACACTCACACACTCACACAGGTTTGTTTTTGTGAAAAGTGGGGACATCCCATAGGCGTAATGGTTTTTCTACTGTACAGACCGTATATTCTATTGCCCTACACCAACCCTACCCCTAAACCTACCCCTCACAGGAAACGTTGTGCTATTTCAGATTTTCAATACACTCCATTCTGTGTGATTTATATGCGTTTTGAAAAGTGGGGACATGGGGTAATGTCCTGAAAAGTCACCTTCTCCTTGTAATACCTATGTCATACCCTTGTCATTATACAAATGTATGTCCTAATTTGTCACAAAAACGTGCACACACACACACACACACACAGACAGCAGGGGGAATAGACGTATAAGACAGCACGCAGGACTCAGGAAACACAGGGCTTAAATACACATGGAAGGTAATCTGGGAAAACTGAAACCAATGGAGTAATAAATAAAAAACCATGGAAACTAATGAGGGAACACCTGGAAACAATGAACATAATCAGACACGGGAGAAACTGGATAATGGAGCATGTGAGGGGAGGAAAACACAAGACACAGGACTGACAGGTCACAGCAGTGGGCTGAAAAGTAGCAGACTAGTTCAAAGTGACCAAGAGTGCTCATACACATACAGACAGGAAGCAGAATGTGTATAAATATTATTCTACAATATCAAGCATCTATTGACCGATTTTATGTATTTAATCAAATGTATATGATTAGAGTTATTTTAATAATATTATTTAGATATATAATAATTGATATAGTATTAATACAAAAACTAGCAAAAAAAAAAGTGATCACATTCAGTTTTAGCTTGTGTAGTTGCACAGTAATTATAATGGAAATGTGCTTTTATTTTATTTTTTGACAAACTTTCCTCGTCTGACATCATAAATTTCCATTGTGCCAGTGGATATGGAGTAATTTAGCTAGACTTTGTGACATGTATTGATGGAAATTAGTTTACTTTAATATTCATTTATTTCAGGGCTCTACTGTAGATGGCAGTCAAAACTAAATTCAGAAAGTTTGTAAAAGAAATTAAACCAATTAAACCTACATTAGCTGTATGTAAGTCAATGCAAATCCAACAGAAATTTGTTTTCATTATCATCTAGACTTTCAGTGTTTCTGAACAAATATTTTAAGCAAACAACAGTTTCAGTCAGTACTCTGCAGTTGGCCACTGAAGTCTCTCCCTTGAAGCAGGAGGATGTGATTTTGATGTTTTTATGTTTATATATTTATTAATTATTATTATTATTTTTTTTTTAACCTTTGAAGACTGACAAGCAATACAGTGCAACAGTTGCCCATCCACTTTTTCAGTGACCTTGGTTCCAGAAATGTGTTTTCTATTATTATTATTATTATTATTATTATTATTATTAACTTTTAAAAAGTCTTCATTAAAGTGTTGTAAGCCATGAACAAAACCAAATAATAGTAATAGAAATTCAATAATAATCACAGCTAATAATAATCACAACATTACAAACTTTGATTTGAAGCAAGAACAAATTTAAAAATCAAACAAAAATAAAAAGGCTTTAATGAGGGAAGGTGAAATAATGCAGGTTGATGGCTTCAGCAAAAGCATATACCATCTAACAACCTCATAGTTGAGAAGTTTTTCTTCCAGGAACCCAACCATTGCACTCTGTATCCCCATGCACAATTAAAGTGAGAATTAAAGAAATAAGAAATAGTTCTGTTTTTTTGTTTTGTTTTGTTTTTTCTCTCTCCAGTCAGGAATTCAGTCAGAAGTAGAACAAGACCAAACGGAGCTGAACTACATTCAAGTCTCAAACACTGAATCCTTTGGGCTAGATCAGTCATGAATTAGACTCAAAACTGACTCACTCACTGGTAGCCATCTACTGGCATAGCCTACAGGAGGGGTCATTAAATCAGAGAAGGAGCCTGAATGAGTCATTTGTTCTGAAAATATATACAAACAATTTAAATCTTTAGGAATTATCAAAGACCCCACTATTAGCTTTCACCTTTCAGCTTGCCACTTATTGAATGCCCCCACAAAAGATACTTAAAGAGATAGTCTACACAAAATGAATTTACTCACCCTAATGTCGTTTCAAACCTGCATGACTTTCTTTTATTTGTGAAAAACAAAATAAGATATTTTGAGAAATGACTCAGTGTATTTTTCCACACATTGGAAGTCAATGGACACCAAAACTGTTTGGCTGTTAAAATCTTATTTTGTACAAGTAAATAATGACATAATTTTCATTTTTGTGTGAACTACTGGATCTTTTTAAAAGATGTTCATTAAACTCTGAAAAATGTAGGTATTTCTGTAACTGGCATTGCAATTAATTATTAACCAAACATTTTATGTATGAGTTCTAATTTTAATCTTCACCAGAGACCTAATGAAATTCCTTGAACTGTAAATGATACATTCAATGTGGTTGATCCATTTATTTGTTGTTGTTGTCTTTGATGAATTGGTTTGTAGATATTCAGTTGAGTGGAGAAAGGACTCTGAAAACCACTTTGACATTGACCCTGTTGAAGGAACTCTGTCTGTCAGTGAAGCCCTGGACAGAGAGAGAAATACAGAACACAACGTCACTGTTGTAGCAACAAAAGTTAGTAAGTATGATGGATTGTGTTTTACCCAGATGCACAGATACAATATGACCAGCCTAGATAACCAAGCAAGTTTACATCCATAATATAACTGTAGATTGAAATGGGGATAAACGTTTATACCAGTCGCTTGAACACATTTCTAAAGATTGCATCCCCATCTAGTGGACAAGAATGAAAATACAGCAGTGCATCACTCATACTGGCTAAAAAAAGAAAAGAAAAAAAATCATCAATAAAATCCAGTTAAAATAAGAGATTTGTCAAGAGACCAAATAAATAAGTAAATTATTTTGCATCAAGCTGATTTCCTAATGAAAAGCCACAACAACAAAGTTTTCACTGATCTGATTCACTGACAATATTTTGTTTGATCTTTCAGACAACCCCCTGCTGTCCAGCAAAGTTACTGTCACAATCAAGGTGCTGGATGTCAATGAGTTTCCTCCAGAACTTGCCTTTGTATATGAGACGTTTGTTTGTGAAAAAGCAAAAGTAGGACAGGTAAGTGTGTGTGTGTGTGTGTGTGTGTGCATATGTGTGAATAACTACCTGTGCTTCAATTTGAGTTTTTGGGCCTGTTGTTGGGTGTTGCAGTGAATTAATGTGAGAGAACTGTGCCTTGATCTTCTCCTTTCATGCTGAAAGAGAGCTACTCCCAGTACAACGCTGCCTATCAGTGTCTCCATATTCAGTCTTTCATACCAGAGAGTGTAGTTCCCTTTAGGGGCATCATGCACTCATGATTTTTGAGGGGGCACGATAGCACTGTATAACTGATATAGGTTTGTGTTTTATTTTATTTTTTTCCTTTTTATTCGAAATATTTCCAAACGTGTTACCTATATCAGGAAATATCTCAATTCTCAAATATGTGTAAGTAAATGCGTTTTGCACCTTTATAGATTATGTTATTTAATCAATAAATGGTGATGGGAAAAGTAGACTAGTGTAATCTATTAACTACACATAAAAAAATCTGTATCTGGCTCAACGCCAGCCAGCGAACACAGATTTGAATTCGGCGGCTGGTGATATGACGCACTGAACGTTCTAATCACACCGGTGTAATTATATCAAATATAAAAAAATATTATTCGGCTATTTTTTGTCTTTTGGAAGCTGCATTCAAAATTCACTTGGCTCGGAAATCTGAGGGGGCACATGAATGGGCATGAAGCCTCTGGTTCCCTTGCTTATATGTAGAAATGTACTAAATAAATGACACAACAAAGACTTTTCAGAATTTACTAAAGACAGTCAGCTGATCAGCACAAACCCTTGAAGACGAATATATGCAATTTTAATGGGGGAGCAATACTTAATCAAGTTACATGCAGTTACACAGTACTAAGAAAAATTCCTGACAAAGTATTTAAAGGGGTCATATGATGTTGCTAAAAAGAACATTATTTTGTGTATTCGGTGTAATGAAATGTGTTTATGCGGTTTAAGGTTCAAAAAACACATTATTTTCCACATACTGTACATTATTGTTTCTCCTCTATGCCCTGCCTTTCTGAAACGCGTTGATTTTTACAAAGCTCATCGGTCTGAAAAGCGAGGTGTGCTCTGATTGGCCAGCTATCCAGTGCATTGTGATTGGCCGAATACCTCAAGTGTGTGACGGAAATGTTACGCCCCTTACCATATTGTGATGCCCTGTCTGGCCGGAGCGACGAGACAAAACCAGAAAAATCCATTATAAACGAGGCATTTGTTGCATCCAGTGGGGACATAATTACGGATTATAATGACTTTTACTGTCTTTTTACACATTGCGTTGCATCGTTGCATGTCTGCATTTGTGATCGGAGAAATGACAAACAACAAGTGCTAAATAGCCTTTTTGCACAGCCAGCTTTGTACTCTTCTAGGTTCAAAAAACTGTCGTCCATAAAATGCGTTGCACTAATTCGAACATCTGGGTTGTGCTGTTCTGTTGTAACTAAATCTTAACCAATGATTCCTAATTGCATCTACTTCCGGAAGGCCAAATAAAGTGCTTTTGCTTTCGCACTGAAACACACACCGTCTCCCTGACATGGCTTTATCAACACTACTGCTGTTCCTGAAACCACGCTTTCTTTCTTTGCGTGCACATTTGGGCGGTGTTATGCAAATCTTCCCACATTGTGACGTAGGTATGTGGGGGCGTGTTAGAACGAGCTGTTTTAGGTAGGCGTGGTTGACTCTTAACTTTTATAAAGAATATCTCTTTGGATTTGAGACTTTAGTCTTTGCAACTTTACAGATCTTCTTTATGCACCAAGAGCTTGTAACACTCCAAAGAGAAAGGAAAAATTGAAATCGCATCATATGACCCCTTTAAGCAAATGGTTTAAATGTATTTAAATACGCTTAATTTAGCTAAGTATACAAATAAATCAATCAATGCTAGCACAAATGTAGTTGCTTTGGCATTTAACAAACTGTATCGTTTAAAACTTATGAATTTTGATTTGTAGGTTTTAGAAGTGTATCGTTTTTATTCATTTCTAATTTGCGCATCTATTCTGAATATGTATAGTATTTAAATATTACTCATTTCAAGTTAATGGAAATCTCTCAATACAAATGAAATGTGTAAATCTTAAAGCTGGATTATTTAAATTTATTCATAATCATTTTATTAGTATTTACTAAAAGTCTGACAGTAATAAATATTCATGATAAATATTAATACAAATACAAAAAAGTAATTTAAATCTTACAAACTTCAAAAGAAAAAAAAAATATATATATATATTTTTGGAGGCTGTAATTTTTACTTTTTCATGAATGATCTATTATTGACATTTAATGACTGACAAGAAAAAAATATTCATGATTAATATTAATACAAACAAATGTGTAAAAATTGTGTGGGTATGTTTTCAAGTTTAAAACTTTTTCCCAATTAAATATGCAGAGACAGCTGCCTTTGAAATGTAAATGCTAACCAGCAAGACACAACAACATTGGCTCAGCTGTTTGTCCAACCAATGAAAGATTGGTTAAAGTGTTGAACCTGTTTGAAACCAATCATTACATTTGCAGTTCTTGGTGGTTCTAGTGCATGGGAAGTAACATTTATTTGCCCACATTTATAGTAAGAAAGTATAAGTATAATATAATATGAAAATATGCTAAGGGGATGGAGTACTAGATATTTTTCTCTGTCATGATAAATCCTGTCATTCTCTCAGAATGCTTAACTTTGTCATCAGAAGTCTATGGAGTTGACAGTGCACCAGTTGTAAGTTCCACCCCATGTGGTTGAGTCATAAAGGCAGTCAGCAACCTCAAATGATCCCTTTGAGGTTTGATGAGTCAAGCATGTCAGCTCTGTCAATCAAACAGTCTATTGTTGTCTTTTCAACACTATAAGTGCTTTTACGAAATATGCAAGCTCTTTCTGTGGTGTTTTATTCAGTTGGCTGTTCTGTATCTGTTCTCTAGGTGATTCAGATCATCAGCGCTACAGACAGAGACATTCCTGCTGTAGAGCACCGATTCTACTTCAAATCTCCTTCACAGACCAGGAACAGAAACTTCACAATCAGGGACTATGGAAGTAAGTTGGAAAGATATATATATATATCTATATATAAATTATATAAGTCATTACATAACTAATCGCTTAAAGGTATAATTCACCCAAACATGAAATTGTGTTTAGTGGTCGTTTTCCAAAAGTATTTTCCCTTTTTTTTTTTTTTCCTTAGGGATGTCAAAATATTATTATGTAAAGAATTCTAAGCTATAAACCAATCACACCATTTCTGTTTAAGTAAAAAAAGTATGAAATATGCATTATTACACACAAAACACGTTCAAAAGTTTGGGGTAATTTTTTAAAAATAAATTATTACTTTTATTCAGCCAAAGATGCATTAAATTGAACAAAAGTGACAGTAAAGACATTTATAATTTTATAAAAGATTAATATTTTACATAAATGCTGTTCTTTTGAAATGTCTGTTCATCAAATAATCTTAAAAACAATGTATCATGGTTTCCACAAAAATGTTAAGCAGCACAAGCATTGATAAGAAATTTGATTTATTAAGTGATCAAAAATATTTTTTTACACTAAGCTGAATTGCAAATGAAATGCTGCTACAACTACAAAGTTGTCTGTAGATTTAAATGTATTCATCATTTAGTTCCACAAAGATGTTCCAAACCTGTGTGACTTTTTTTTCTTCTGCTGAACCCAAAAAAAAGATAATTTAAAGAAGGTTTCAAATCTTTTAGTTAATGTAATGAAAGAAATTGGGTTCCAAAACAACTCTGGTCCACACTGACTTTGTATTATTTTATTTTATTTTATTTTGCATTCATTCATTCTCAAAATAATTTTTTTTTTTCTTCATTTTGGGTGATTTATCCCTTTAAGGAAATATATTGAGATTATTTTCAACTGAATGTCTATAGACTCATTTTCAAGTCAATAGACCTATAGGCTTATATTCAGAAACATGTTTACAGTAAATTTGCTTAAATATAAAATCACCTGTAATGTTATTTTAATTAAAGGTGCAATATGTTTATTTATCAGCTGTTGCTATGATGTTGTACTAGAAGAGATTTTTAGGCCATGTTACTCAAAGAACATATGTAGTATATATATTGTATATAAAAGTATCTACCGGGAGAACAAACTCTAAGCTACCCAAACTAGTGCTGTGACGCATCCCAGAGCAGCACATTGTTGCGTGATCCATTCAGACGCCTACAGCCTCGCTGCCTGCTCCCAAGCTCCGTCCCCAGTGTTCTCAGCACATGAATATCATCAACTGTGATTCACAGAGACAGGGTCACTCAGGGCTACACAGCCAAAAAGGCAGGTGTGCTTTAATGGCTCCTACCTTGTCAAGAGAAATCCCCCAGTTGCCCAGGCGTAACAAACCCCTCATGACGGGGTCAGTTGACCTTCCAGGCGAGGACAAGCACATCTCAGCGTGTTGACTCAGTGCTATGAGCGCCAAGTAAAACCCTCACCATCAGACCAGCAAGCACCTACCCTGCTGTATTTTCATGCTTGATTTAAAACTATTTTCTATTTCCTCTGGGTCATAAGAAACACTTGGCTAGACACTTGAATCAAAGAGGATGGGCTAAACTGACTTAAATGCTTAAAATTTGTGTGTGTGTATATATATATATATATATATATATATGTGTGTGTGTGTGTGTGTGTATAACTGAATTATGGCAGAATTAAACATGCACTCAGTAATTGTTTCCTCGTTTTAAAATATCCGTAGCCTAATAAAATATGTTTTTTTTTTACATGGAGCAGGACGCTGCATGGGTGCCACCCTGTTTGATAACCCACTTGGTAACAAATCATGCCGACTTTTACTTGCTGACTGCAAATAGAATCTAACAGGAGAGTTTTCCGGAATAAATTTTCCCGTTATTTTTTTTTTCCTTAGGGATTTCAAAATATTATTCTATAAATAATTCTAAGCCATAAACAAAATCAATCAGCTTCAAGATGTAGCACACTATTACCATTGATTTCAAGTAAAAAAATATACATTACCATTCAAAAGTTTTGGGGTATTTTTTATTTTATTTTTATTTTATTTTTTTAAGAAATTATTACTAATTATAGCATAGGATGCATTAAATTGATGAAAAGTGCCAGTAAAGACAAAATGTTTCTATTTCAAATAAATGTTGTTCTTTTGAACTTTCTGTTCATCAAAGAATCCTGAAAAAAATAGTATCTTGTTTTCCACGAAAATATTAGGCAGCACAACTATTTTCAACATTGATAATACTAAGAAATGTTTCTTAAGTAGCTAATCAGCATATTAGAACAAATTCTGAAGTATCATGTGACTGAAGACTGGAGAAATGACTGCTAAAAATTCAGCTTTGCCATTACAGGAAAAAAAAAAAAAAGAAACATTCAAATATAAAAAAAGTTATTTAAAATTTTAATATTTCACAATATTAATGTTTGGCAGTATTTTTGGTCAAATAAATGCAGCCTTGGATATTCTAAAATACCTTTAAAAAAACTAATTTTACTGACCCCACTGACTGACAATCAGATTGCTTTATTGCATGGAGAGGGCAGTCATTGCTGAGATCTCTTTTATCCTGATTTGTTTGCCATGATTCTCTGATTTGTGGATATTTTTATTCAGCATAATGGTTAGTATAGTTTGTTATCTGGAACTTACATGTATGTATATATACATATAAATAAATACACACACACACACACACACACACATAGATGCCTCATTAGCAGTTTTTATGGACCGCTATATGTAAGCCTTCTGTCATACTGGAACGGTCAAAGACTCAAGAGCAAGTTGACTGTGCATCTGCAACTTGGAAAAGTCATTGATTGTGAGTGATGACACGTTGACTGTTCCAAGATGGCGGATGCAATGAAGTGTCTGGAATGGTTGAATGTGGCATCTATGTATATATGCTCCAACACCTGAAATGGGTGTGTTAGACAAAGGAGACATTAAAGGATTAGTTCACTTCCAGAATAAAAATTTCCTGATAATTTACTCACCCCCATGTCATCCAAGATGTTCATGTATTTCTTTCTTCAGTCGCAAAGAAATTAAATGACCTTTACAAAATAATTTTAAAAAAATGATGTTGGACGATTTTGAAGATGGAAGAGAAAATGAGATAAGGTTTTTCGCCCTACCCTATCTTTTTGAACCGGAGTACTCAAACGAAGTAACCGTGCCGCCGCGCGTGACCTTTCCAACGTGATTACGTCATGCGTGAATTTGTGGACGTGCATCGCAGAGCTAGTGCAAGACGTGCATTTGTGGTTAAAAAGTATATACTTATTTATTTTTTTTAGAAAATGACAGATCATTTTGCTGGATAAGACCCTTATTCCTCGGCTGGGATCGTGTAGAGCCCTTTGAAATCGCAGTCCGGGGGCACCTAGTTCGGACCAAAGGGGCATTTTAGTGTCAGCGATTAAAGGGACAGGAGCTCGACTCCCCCCACCCCCTGCATGCCACTGCTTGCAGAACACACTGGGAATGTTTGAGCCTAAAACTTTATCTACAATGCCACACTACCACCTAAGCAATATATTAAATCTGTAGTTAACACGGCAAATGATAGTTGGAAGAAATATACCTATTGAGATTAAAACAGCCTGAAGAGTTGTGCATCCTAGTTTTGTTTGGACTCCAGCTGTGTCAGAGGCTCTTCTCAAAAAGGTACATCATGCTTTTCCCAGGAGTACCTCATGTTAGCTTGTTATCCCCTTAACCAGAACCACTTTTTTTCTGTACTTATTTCCACTTCAAAGGGATCCATTTTTCTTCTTAATTCTGGAATCAGGCCAGTCTCTGTACTGCATAAGTGGCTCGTGAATTCATAATATTCTGCCATGGAGCAATGTTGGAATGGCAGGTTATGATCCCTGAGAGCATGACTGTCATTATCACTGATTATATCCAGATTTGCATGCATTAAGTACAATTATTTATGGCCTACACTAAATCTGCATTATAGACAGTTTGATGGTCTCATGGGTTCGATTTCAGACAACACAGCTGGAGTGGTGACCAGGAGAGGGGGGTTTCAGAGACTGGAGCAGAGCATGTACCTGGTGACGGTCGTTGTGGAGGACGGCGGGTACCCAATCCGAAGCAGCACGGGGACGGTGTCGGTGCGGGTGTGTACCTGCGACACAGACGGCTCCCTCCTTTCCTGCAATGCGGAAGCCGTCTTCTTTCCCATGGGACTCAGCACTGGAGCTCTAATGGCCATAATGCTGTGCATTGTCATTCTGCTGGGTGAGTTAGACATGTTTGTGTCCAAAAGAACACTGGAAAGACAAAGAAATATGCATTTGATTAATTTAATGTGATAAATAGAGAAGATACAAGAAAACTTAGGGGTTATGTTTGTGTAGTCATGTTTGTGTATGTCATTTTTATTTATCATTTGATTTGGACTAGGCTCTGATAGCAGGACACTAACAGTACCGACAATTGTGCAAACCAAAACAAAAGTAAATAACATAAGTATTTATGGGTATTTCTTTAACTTTTGGGACTTTTACGTCCCAGAGGTTTATTTTTACTAAAACTAACAGATTATTTCACAAAGAACTTTACAAATGCCTTTATACAGAATTTACATTACTGTTCAAATTGCATTACTGTTTTCAACAGCCATTAATCCAGTCTTCAGTGTCATGTGATCCTTCAGAAATCATTCTAATATGCTGATTTGATTCTCAAAAATATATATATTTTTGTTATTATCAATGTTGAAAACAGTTGTTATGCTTAATATTTTTGTGATAACAGTAGCATGTGATGCATTTTTAGGATTCTTTGATAAATTTTAAACTTTCTGAAGAACAGCATTTATTTGACTTAGAAGTCCATTGAAACATTATAAATGTTTTAACTGAAACTTGATCAATTTAATGCATTTTTACATTACTGACCCCAAACTTGAAGATTAGTGTAGATTTTATAGGTTACTCTTGTCCCAGACTTTCAATATTACAATTTTAAAATCATACAAATATTATCCAAATATGAATTACATGTTTAGATAATGTAAATAAAAAGTGAAAATTATAAACCATTTTTATAATCATTGTGTGAAAATTATTTATTTTACCTGGAGAAGAATCATGGCACCTATACAAATATTTCTATTGTACTTTAATTAAGCTATAATTTTGTCATTATGCAAAACATGAAAATGATTTTAATTGTGTATATTTAGGATACATTGAATGCTACATATGAAATTAGCCATAGAAAAATAAAAGTATTTGTAAACCCTTTTGGGGAAATAATGACATTTTCATCACAGAAGAAAATTACCTTTTTTTTTTTTCTGTGATGCATGTAAATGTACTCCTGGACATTGTTAGTAGACAAATGAAATAAAGTAGTAAGGGTATGAAAAGATATGCAAAATGTTTATAAAAGCCAAAGTGCCCATAGTAACAGAAACACCCATATAATATAAAGTATACATAAAGTATAGAATGTGGAATCATCTTTATAATAAGAACAATTTAAAAAAAACAAGCTTCTGTATGCCAAAAAAAAAAGAGCGAGAGAGTAATGGGACAAGAGTACTGAGGAACTCCTGAGGTAGAATTGCAATAAAAGCTCTCTATTGCAATAAGTACTAGGTAAGTGAATTCTGTAGCAGACAGTGACAGTGCAGTGAAGTGATGTGCTCTGACTTGATATTTTCATTTGCCAGCATTGCAGAAAAGACAGATTCCTTTATACGGCAACCACTTGGGGGAGCTGATGCAGAAACAATGATTTGAATGTGATAATACATATTATATTCTAAAAGACTAGAAAATAACAAAATGAGAAAACCTTCCCCTAATAAAACATGCAGGTTGATTAAGCCAAATGTCCCCCTCTGCTTCTTCAGAAAGCTTCTAATCTGTAATTCTCGCAGCAGCGCCTGTGCCTCCCTGTCTTTTTCTTTCTCGCATCTTTCTTTGAGTGGAGTGGGGCAAGCGAGCGCTGTCTGCCTCTGAGGAGGGAACTACCTCTACCTCCCCTCCTCTCACACAACCGAGGCAGTTCGATGGTGACAGACAGCATGTCAAAACTGCATTATGGCTACCCTCGGGCTGCCATTCTCTTTAGTCCCGTTTTGAAAACCCACATCAGAACAAAAAATAAATCAGCTAATGGCTCCGGAACATGTGACAACCCCTTTTTTTCACTAGTTTGTTGTCACTTAAAGGTCCTGTACTGTATGTATGTCAACGTGTATTACACCACAAAACAAATTATGCGCCTCTGGTGTTTTGTAGTGATGGTGGTGCTCTATATGGGCCTGAGAAAACACAAGAAGAAGGACACTCTGATGTCGTCTAAAGAGGACATCCGGGACAATGTGATCCACTATGACGATGAGGGAGGTGGGGAAGAGGACACCCAGGCCTTTGACATAGGTACGTTACGCAACCCCAAAGGCATCAAAGAGACGGCACAGCTGCAAAAAATAAGATCAGTGGATGAGCCCGATCGGGCTAGTGCGTGTATGTCCAACGAGGACAGCGAGGACATCCAAGCCTACATCCATCACTGTCTTCTGGAGAACTCAACACCTCCATATGACTCTCTGGTCATGTATGCATATGAGGGAGAGGGATCGGTGGCCGAGTCTCTCAGTTCCATTGAGTCCTGGGTGCTTGAACCCAAGGAGGATTACAGAAATCTCTGTGACTGGGGTCCTCGTTTCAAAACACTGGCTGGAATATTTAAAGAGCATGAATGTAAGGACATGGAAAAGACAGAACATTAAGCACATGCTGAGGTGCTAAATGACAGACTGGACTAAGAGCATTTTCAGGCGCTCTGTGAAAAAACACAAAGTTTATTTATTTCAGGCATGGCACTTAAAGGAATAGTTCAATCTAAAATGAACATTGTCATGTTGTTCCAAACCTGTATGACTTACGTTCTTCTGTGTAAAGGTCCGGTGTAATTAGTGAAATTTTGCTGAAATTTCATGTCAAAAAAAGGTCCATTGTCTGTTTGTCATTATTGTAGAAATATATGAAGCATAGTTCAAACAGAAGTCACTTTCAAACCAAACAGCTTTCTACTGGTTAACGTGAAAATCTGCATTGTGAAATCTGTGTGGTGAAAGCTTTTGCCCTTACGTGATCTCATGGATTTTTATTGAAATGACTAGATTTTGTCTGTGAAAATTTGCTGAACAATGATAAATATGACTGCACCTTAACACAATAGAAGACAGTGTTTTTTGTCCATACAGTCTATACAATGAAAGTCAGTGGGGATGAAATACAGTTTTGGACCCTTTTGACTTTGATATGGACAAAGAGGTTGAAACTTCACTGAACAACAGTAAAAGTCAACACACCTTAACAAAATACAAGACATTTTAAAAATGTCTAAGAGTTTTTTTGTCTATATACACTAGTCTACACAATAAAAGTCAAAGGGGATGACATATTGTTTTGGACCCCACTGACTTTGATTAAATGGCAAAAACAGTTGAAAAGTCATTGACAACACAGTAAATGTGACCACACCTTAACACAAAAGTGAGTGTTTTTGTCTATACAATGAAAGTGATTGGCAGAATCCAGAAGAAAGTCAATCATACAAGTTTGGAATGTTTTAGAGTGCATAAATGTTGACAGAATTTTCATTTTGGGGTGAACTGTTTCTTTAAATTAAGTTGCCGTCTGTGGCTAGGGAAAGACACTGATAAGGCTGGCTATGTGCCTTTCCTATACCTCATGCATATTTTACACTCTACTGTTCACTATTTAGAAAGAAACTTGGAACTGTAATTTTTCCAACTGCATTTTAACATCTGTTTTATATACTTCTACAAGACAATGAACCAAAAAAAACTCTTTGATATAAAAAGTGCCTCATGAACTGCTTTATTTGTCTTTCAACTGTTGACATTGTTATTTGCAATGATCCAAGCAAGAGAAGTCTATAACCTTGGTGCAAAAGGACCAAGATGAGGAAAAAATAGGATAAAAATCACATCCAAGAAATTGTTGCCCTGCTAGCAATCCTTCCAAACATATTTACCAGCACTTAGCAGGAATTCTGCCAGGCCAGTGCCCGGAATGTCACAGTCGGTACTTTTTTCACTGATGCCCCATGAAAACATCTGTTTGGATCGCCCTCACTGACTTCCTCAGACTGTGCTGCTTGCTTCCATGGTGATCGAACCCCTCCAATCCTACTTACTGTCCTCCGGGTCTCTGCCACTAGTTTGATAGCCACAGGCTCTTTGCGCCTGTTGTCTTCCTGTCTAAGTGTTATGGTGTCGCTCTGACATCACCGTACAGCGATTCATCAGAGCTGTGGCTTTGCACTAGGGCAGCCGATTCCAGTGATTCTGTATTGGCCAGCCAAGTCATTACAATGTTCATTTTGACCCATGTTTTCTATCAATCTCCCTGAGAGTGGAGCTAATGAGACCTCTTTGTCAGTTATCAAAAGAGAATTTAAAAGAATATCTTATCCATTATTGATTATATTGTATAAACTTATATTGTATAAACTATAACAAACTCAAATGGAGACTTTCGACATTAAAGTTGTTTGTGATAAATGCTCTTTGTTTTTTCCCTCCCTAGGTTCACATTTTATTATGAGTTAGGCCTATTACACACTGCAAGCCTAAAAAAAAAAAACTTTGCTACGTGTACTGCGTTAGACTAACCGGGACTTGTCACAACATTTACATATTGTTGCTATTTTGTTGGTTTAATTGCTTCTATTGCCCCCATTTGTAAGTCGCTTTGGATAAAAGCATCTGCTACATAATTAAATGTAAGCATATTTTATGCAATTTATGGATTTATATGAGTTTTATTTTATTTTTTTATTAATATAATAAACATTGGTTACACTTTATTTCGATAGTCCAGTGAGATGGCAGCCCTTTAAAATGGCCTCCGAAGCATACAAAGAACAACTCTGAGAGCCGAAATGGGCCAGAGCATTCAACATACACTCTTAGGGCCCGAACTGAGCAGAGTTGATTAGGACCCTGCTCACCTTCTGAATCGGGGAGCACTAGAAGGGTGATGACTTGTGCTCTGAATGGAGTGGAGAGCACTTTTGGCACATAGCCGTGCCTTGGCTTGAGGACGACTCTACAGTCGTTAGGCCCAAACTCAAGACATGAAGCATTGACTTACAGTGTTTGCAGGTCACCCACTCACCAGTCAGAAAAGACTGACCATTTAAGGGCATAGAGACGTCTTGTAGACGGAGCTCTAGCCTCTAAAATGATATTAGTTACACTTGTGGGGAGCTGCAAAGACTCCCTTCGAGGGGTCAAACATGAAGACTCCACAGCTCTGGCTGGGGATGCCAAATCATGCCCCTCGCTTGCGAGAAGAAGTCCTTCATCTATGGTATCGGCCAGGGGGCTGCCGATAACAGATGAATCAACTCGGGGAACCACGTCTGATTCCTCCAGAGTGGGGCCACCAGGAGGGCTGAACATCTGACTTCCCTGACCCATCTGATGACCTGAGAAAGCAGGGCAACTGGGGGAAAGGCCTACAGGTGAGCGCTGGGCCAGGGCATCTCTCTGCTTCAAAAAATATATTTGGCAATGAAAGTTGTCTTCTGAGGCGAAAAGGACCACCTCTGCCCTTCCGAAGACAGACCAGATCGTTTGAACCATTTGAGGATGTAGTCTCCACTCTCCTGGAGCTTTATATTGCCCGTGGACAGCATGTCTGCTCCCTGGTTCAGTCTGCCCGGCACATAAACTGCTCTCATCAAGAGGAGTTTGCCCTGTGCCCATAAAAGGAGGTGTTGAGCCAACCTGTAGAGGGAACGTGACCTGAGACCACCTTGGTGATTTATAAAGGCTACCACCGTAATGTGGTCACGACAGATGCCTCCAACTTGGGTTGGGGAGCTCTGTAAGAGGGCAGACCAGTGTTCGGCTCCTAGTCAAACCTGGAGCAATGCTTACACATCAACTGCCTCGAGATGATGGCAGTTTTTCTAGCCCTAAAAACCTTCCTGTCGGCCTTAAAGGGGCACCACGTCCCGGTCCATTCAGAAAACCTTCCTTCTTTAGGTCAGTCCCAATGGGACACCTGATTGAAACAGGTGAGGAGATTTCCAAGAGGTCACAGCTCTGATACAGCGGTGGGTTACCCTGAGATGAAAATGTCCCAGGCGCCAAGCGTGGGATGAGACATGGGCTTTGAGCCAATACTGGAAGGGCAGCATGTGAAGCAGGCCCAGAGGAATCACAGAGAAATCAGACGACACAAGGCCGAGCATCCTCTGGAAAGCCCTGAGGGCATGTGAAGTCCCCAGTCTGAATGACACCACTAGCCACTGAACTATCAGGGAGTGTTCCGGCGTAATCCATGCCCGCATCTGGGCATAATTGATAATTGTCCCCAGAAAAACTACCCGCTGGCTGGGAGACAAAGAGTTCTTGGCTGCCGCTCCAGGTGGCTGAGCAGCAGTGGCCAGTGAGCGATGAGTTCCCATTCTGATCTGGCTAAAACCAGCCAATTGTTGAGGTAATGCAAGATGCAGATTCCCATATGTCTCAGAGGGGAGAGAGCTGTGTCCATGCACTTCCCTGATCTCGGTTAGATTCAGTCAAAGGTGGCACTCCAGCACCACCAAGTTGGTCATGGCTTTGTCGATCGTCTGCGCAGTGGCCTTAGTAGCATGCAGAGCAAAGTCAGTTGCTCTGCGCTCGTCCATGATGTGGAGAAGCTTGGCCTGGAACACTTGGAGCACTGCCATTATGTGAAGCGCTGAGCCAGCCTGGCCAGCCGCTGAATAAGCCCTGTTAACTAGGGCTGAGGTAGTCCTGCAGGAATTTAATGGATGCGCTGGATGGGCTTTTAACCCCAGGGCCGATGGAGGGCACAGATGAGCTTTGATCGCTTCTTCCAGAGGGGGGAGCTTGCTATAATCTCATTCTTCAGCGCCGTCAACAATGGTGAGAGCAGCAGAAGTGGAGGGATTACCACGCGACAATTAGGGGGCGCGCCATGTCCTGGTGAGTTCCTCGTGAACTGCCGGAAGGTACGGGGCAGTCCGCTCGCAGGAGGATTATTGACGGTGCCCTTTCAGGAACCACTCGTCAAGGAGGCCGTAGGCAGGCTCTTCCGGAGCCTACCAAGCCAGGTCGAGATCCTCCACAGCTCACTTTCCATGTGGGGCCATGTTGTCTGCGTCGGAGGAAGGGTGTCGGGGTCTTCGCCAGAACATGCCCACTCTTCCGCATCTGAAGCCATCAACAACATAGAGTCATCTACGACAGCTTCCTCCTCAGATCCACCGAATGAAATCAAGCTGCTCACAGCTGAGGAGGGGCACTGATCATCATGTGTGAAGAACACGGTCGAATGACGTTGAGGGAGAGTGCAGCATGCAGAACCTAAGCCGGTGTGATTTCATTTGAGCCCGGTGTTTGAGCCCCATTGTTTCTTCCTCCTAAGGAAGGGGAGGAGGTCCGAGGAGGACCGCCTTCATGGAAAAAGGCGATCCGTGAGTGGAGAAGGGAGAGACTCAGTACTCGCAGTGAGAACATTCCACCTCGGTGAGTGCATCCTCTGCATGGGTGCTGCCCAGACAGGCGACGCACGGTCCCCATCTGCATCGTGGGGTTTCCTGTCGCGACATTTGTAATAATGTTGCAGTGGAAATTTGCTCAGAAAATATGCTCTTTTAAATGCTGGATGGCCGCAGGGGAAGCCGTTGAGCTTCTTCTGCTGCCGGTGGCTTCTTCTCACGGCAGTGAGCAGGAGGCTGAGCTTCTTTCTTCTCCTCTCTTTGGCTTCTTGCTTGAAGAGTCAGCAGGGAGATGCTATTTGTTGATGGAGGATATTATGACGAAATGGCACTCAGAGCCGACTTATCAAAGTAAACAGGGCTTTCTCTATAGAGTGTTAATGCTACGGGACCGTTCGAAAGGAAACTATTACA